CTCAGTGCTACGACCAACACCAACTGGACCGGTGGACTTCTTGTACATCGACCCCGTCGGTATCCTGCTGACTCATTCCGATCATTCAGTCCAGACCATCGGATTGCTGGTGGACCACAATGTGCAAATGCCTGCGCATTTCATGGACAGATTGAACAGATCCAAGGCTGAGAGACAGCAAAACCCGACGACCAAGCGTACTGAAGCCCTACACCACATTTCGGCCGCTGACTATCTCCCTCCAGGTGGTACTTCCATCCTGGACACGCCTGTCACTACGGAGGAACGTGCAAGCGCTTCTTCGGCCAAGGGACCTTCAAAGGGGCGTGAGAGAGCCGGAGGTGAACAGCATGGAGGCTGGAACGCCAACACCTACTATGACTACACCGCCGGCAAAGGCCGAAACAAAGGCAAGGACAAAGGAAAGCAAAGGGAACAGTATCCAGAGGAAAACCTCCGGCCCTGGGACCGCGATCCTGCGACCACGCGAAGATGGAGATGAATCAACGCTTGGTCTTCCTCGCCTATCAGTTCGTGACCTCTGAGCTTCGCCCATGGAATGCCATCGCGAATGCTTCTTTCTTCGGTGACGCCTGATTCGTTTGCCATTTCAGGGGATCGTTACTGACGTAGATGAGTGTCACAACGTTTCTAATTGGGATGCAAAGCTCTGATTTTCAATGTCAACGTTGCGGCGGAACATTTTCTGTTGTCCTATCGTGCCATCTTCCGGGTGAGCAGCGTCGGAGACGCAACTCATGGGGGGTGCGAACGGACTGCGATGCCTTGTCAAGTTCTAAGGTGTCACTATAAGAGCTGTGAGCAAGACCGTGTAAAGTGCAAGAGAAGGGGGCACGCTACGCGTCCCTCGACTCTAAGGGGGCACGCTACGCGTCCCTCATCTTTACCTTTCTATGTGACCGCCCACGCAACGTTTGGCTCAAGTCAATGCCCATAGCTAAGTGCTATAAGTGTCTTCTATCCTGAGCAATCAGAGCTATCCCGTTGCACAGACGAACCGCCGCCGGCAGTGAGTGCAAAAGGAACGGCCGCCGGTTCTGCCTGCATAGGATTGCACGCGTGGAAGTGTAAGAGAGACAGGGTCCAGTCTGTGGAGAGTGCAAGCCAGCCACACCTACATTCATTACAGCTCTGGTGGGGAGAGCAGCAACCTAGTCGAGATCAATCCCCCACGCAAATCTGGATGACGAACTCTAGCATGACGCTTGCCCGTGCCCCTTCCCATCACACATGTGAGGCAATCCCTTCTGTAATCCATGTGCCCGCTGTCCACATGGCTCTTCCACTGCTCTGGGGTCATAGCCTTGATCGTCGGTATCTCGCAGGGTCCTCTGTCGCAAAGTCGTAGCGTCTATCTTCCCAGTTAGAGCTCCATACAGTAGAAGTCTCCAAGTGGCATTGTTGAGGACGCTATGGGCTTGGCATCGGTCTATGTCCAGCTCAATAACTGCAGTCTCGCCAGCGTCTAGACGAAACACTTGCCAATGTCCAGGGTTGCCCGCATACATATGGATCACCCATTTACGTGACTTCCACAGGTGTCTCCGCTGGGGCCTCGTGAGGTAGTCGATGGACTTCATGATTTCCCAGCTGCCAGGGTTTATATCAGGTTGCACAAGTCCCTCGAGACATTCAGCTGGTAGGCCTCTAAGAAACGTGGCGTCCCTCAGCGCTCTTCCACCTGCAGCTGTGGACCCTGTCTCCACATACTCCTGGAGATAGTCCTGCCAACCACGCTCCATCGCGAGAGCTGCAAGTGAAAGTCTGTCTTGCGTGTCCGCAACCTGGTTCTCCAGTGTCTCCCTGCGCCTGTCCTCAATTCGAGCAATCATCGACAGAGCTTCCGCCTCGCACAGCTGAGGACATCCCGTGGAAGTAGATAAGGTGATCTTCTCGCCATCTGGGTCCAGGAGATAGCACTTTCCAGGTCCCCACACCGTTGTGTAGCCCAGCACCTTAACGAGCTGGCCAACAGGAACGATTGTTTGGGAGCCATTGGTAGCGGAGCAAGTCGACGTAGGCGCGGATCTGGGGGGCATCAGCAGTGACCCACTTACACCCATTCGCATCACCAAACTGCTACCACCAGCTAACTCCACCATGATCTCCTCAGCCTCCAACCACTCCTTGTCGCTGTAGGCGCTTCTTAGACAGTGTGTAGCCCCAGAGTCCATGGGGTCCCGACCAAAGAGGACGGAACCGATGAAGTTGACGTGGCCGTGCCTGGAAGGGACAAGGGAGCCATCGTTGATGCCTGAGAGGAAGTAGGAGTCTGACTGTTGTTGTTCTTTGGGTCGCGGTTGGGGGGCGTAGTGGTAGTTGTAGGTTTCTGCCCTCCCTTCCCCACTTGGCAGTCTCGCTGCCTATGAGCTTCGCTCCCGCATCTCAAGCACTTGCGGGCTCTGGTTTCCCGGTCCATTGTAGCCATCGAATGACTGTAAGTACACTTGTCACCCCTTTTGCAACCAGAGCTTTTGGCAAAGTAGCGACACAACTCGCTTCCCCGGTCCTTGTCCTTCGTCTTCGTAGGGCTTCCACTGGTGTCCAGCGCTCTCACCCTTGGGGCAGCCGTTGACGTAGGTCTCGTACTCGCAGAGATCACCTCCAACTCGGCCTGGAGGTGCTTCTGGTAGGCCTGTACCTGGTCCAGCGACGGTTGGGCATCCAGGCGCAAACTCGTTCTCAGCATGGCCGTGCGAAACGCGGCATCCGCCGACTGAGAGACATAGCGATCGGTCATCAGGAGGAGACCTTTTGCCAAGACCGTGGGATCGGGCGGCTCCATTCGGACCGCTCTGCATCGAGCAAGCCACCGTGGCCAAGCCCGTAGTGTCTTCAGCACATGTTCCAGATCATCTGTTCCCACGAACTCGCCTGGGTTCTGCAGTCTCTTCAACACATCTGACCGCTCTGCCGCACCACCCGGCTGAAACCGAACGTAAAGTCTGAAGAGCATCCGCACACTGTCCTGAGTTACCCTCAGCGCAACCATCTCATTCTTTACCTCATCGTCCATGGCCCCCAGGAGCATCGTAGCCGCCCTTGCATTCAACCTTGACCAAATTCCTTCAGTAAGGCCGTGGTTCGAGGGGGGAGCCACTGAGAGTCGCTCCAGGGGCATTGCCGAAAGCCATTCAGAGTAGGTCTTCTCAACTGTCTGAATCACAGATGCCCACCATGTTCCTGACCTCTCACTAATATCACCCATTGTAGTAGAGGACACCTCAACCCAATCCTGAAATGCCAGCGCTGTCTCCGCGTGATCAGCTAGGCCTGGCAACGGAAGCAGGGTGTTCGTGCCCGACTTCACTATCTCTGCTGCGGAGGTCGTTGAAGTTCTGGTCATGGCCTGGGCCTGCAGCTCTTGAAGTTGCCTCACCCCTTGGGCCAAGGCGTGAAGCACGGAAGAGTCCTGAGAGGGGCGTCGATCGTCCGGTGATGAACTCCTCGGTCTAGGGCCAAGCAAAGATCTTAGCAGTCCCTGCGTTGGTCGAGGAACAGCCTCCTCAGAAGGCGGGATTCCCCGCTGCTCGCCGAACAGATCTCTCCGGAGTCCTTGTACACCTCCTGGAATGTCATCACCTCGATGGACTCCCAGAGGCACACCTGGAGATACTGTAGGTCCTCGCTGGGCTCCAAGGGGATTACCTAGTGGTAGCGGAGCAGGTTGTCGACTAGGTGCTGGATCACCTCGGGGTAGGACCGAAGGAATGCTCGGAGGTAGAGTTGGTTCATGTGGTAGTCCTGGTCCGGTTAACCCAGATAGTCCCTGCAGCTCATGTAGATGTCCTAGATTTGCTCCTGATTCGGGTTGACCCCATAGTCCACTAGGTCCCATAGGCCCTGTAGCAAGATCACCTAGAAGTGGAGCGGGCTCACGCGCTGCTGGGGCCCTCACTGCGCCCTGCTCTCTCACAGCGTGTCTGGCCTGCTCAAGCTCAGCAGTCAGTAGAGCATTCTGCTCCTCAGCTAAGCGTAGCCGCGCCTGTCTCACAGGTGAGCGCAGCATAAATGATTGGCCTCCTCGAGGTGGCGAATTTCGTCCTGCGACAAGAGGACTCGGTGCCAACTCGGGATAGCCAGTGCTGAGGTAGTTCCCCAGTCTCGAGACCCATCTAGGGACCTCCAGTCCTTGCAGCCAGTTGTTCTGACTCGCCGTTGAGCGGGGTGTAAAGAACCCCTGCTGGCCAATGCCTTGCTCTGCTCCTCCACTGCTCATTCCACTCAGCGGCATCCCGTCGACTTCTCGGATCGTCGTAGGCCGTTGCTGCCCCGCCTGTCCAAGAGCCGGTACAGCGTCCACCACTGCTGGAGCCGACGTAGAAGCACCTATGTCCACAGGCACACTAGTCTGCGCACTAGGCAGCACATCACTTGCCGCCCCTTGAACAGTTGCGTCCATGGTCCCATATGCAGCACTGCCAGATGTCATCGGTATAGCGGAGTCCTCCTGGGGAGGGTCCTGGCTGGAAGCCGTCTGCACAGCTCCACTCTGGCCTTCCGGGATCACCCCATTCGCTGTTTGCGCTTGCAGCATTTGGGCGCCCATAACCTGTTGATGCCCGATGGCATCCGTCGAATTTACAGCAGCCATGATTCAAACGATGGGCATGCTTCGATCTCTCTTTTTCCGCGAACAAACGACTGTGCTTGCATACTTCAGAGGTCTGCACACTGAAAGTTGTACATGGTGTGCGTGACTGTTTCCCTCTAATTAAGAAGCTCTTACAGGCTTCGTAAAAGACGTTGGTGTGCTATGCTACTGCAGCCCAAGGGTGATGTTCCGTAGCTTCCCTTAAGCCGCCATGCGCCAGCATCTGCACACATGACCAGCTGTCTGCTCATCTGCAAAACCCTAAACCGTTCCCCTATAGAGCCCTTAAAGGAACCCCTTAGAAAGGTACCCTAGGATTATAGATCCCTTTAAAGGAACCCCGAACCTTATATTTCCTTAAAGGTAATATGCACCCAGTACCCAGGTCATTGATGCGTGCGCCCGCGTGGGCGACGTGCGAAATGCTGCAGCCTGGTAGCAAATTGCACAAGTTTGGTGTCGATCCTTGACTTAGGGGTACTTAGAAATAGTTTTTAATTTTTGGTGATTATAATCCCTAAGAAACAGCTAAAATTATAGTTTTTGCAAGGGTTCTAAGTTCAGTATAGTTGAAACCTTGAGCAAACTTAAAGCTAGCCCAAGAAACCCCCGCCTTCCTTGTGCATCTTGAGAGGGCGAGAACGATAAACGCCGAAGTAATACCAACACTATTTTGGGGGTTCCTTATCATATTTATAGTATAGGGCTCCGAAACCCTATTCAACTCTAAGTATTAAGTTATTAAGGCCCTTATTCGACACATTAAGCTCCGAAGTGTGTTTCCTGTCTGGTGTTTGGCCTTGGAATCAGCTTCCGAAACCCGCCCAAGCAGCAACGATGTTGTGGGGTCCCCCGTGTCTGCTGAAACTTCCGTTTGCCGCTTTAGAGAGGCTTTTTGGAGGGGCTGGACCACGGCACTGCAATTAGGGGCCCAAAAAAGCACGTAAGCATAAGCATTTTTTTAGGGATATCCCTACCTTAATGGGCTTGATTATAAGGGGGTTCTATATATGGGATATCCCTATCCTAAGCCTAATTTTTGCTCATGTGCTCTTTTGGGGCCCTAAACCCTAAACCCTAAACCCTACACCCTAAACCCTAAACCCTACTATGCAAGGATTTGATCGGATTTCTCTGGGGCCCGGAGCACCAAAATCCCTCCAAATCCTCATCCCTCAAGGCCCAGACATCCCTAAGCCCTAGGACCTAAACCCTAAATCCTAAGCCCTAAACCCTAAACCCTAAACCCTAAATCCTAAGCTCTAAACCCTAAACCCTAAACCCTAAATCCTAAGCCCTAAACCCTAAACCCTAAACCCTAAATCCTAAACCCTAAGCCCTACGGCCGAAATCCTAAGCCGTGAACCCGCAAGCCGACAGAAATAGGCCAAGAGGCACTCACTGAACTTCGCGCTTGACCCTCAAGCCCTGCACCTCCACATGGAGTTTTCGAAAATTTGCGGGGGGTACCTTGTTTTTTTTGGGGGGTCCTTATAATGAGGATCCTACTATGTAGGGTACTATATTAGGGTGCCCGATTTTCGGAAACCCCCACCTCATGAACCCACACCTTTTCACCCTTCTATAAGACCGCTACCCCAAAGATCTTTGTCCCTTACCATCCTAGAATCTCCCGCACAGTAACCGAGTAACCTACAAAGCTAGCAGCATCCTAAGCCCAAGTACCTAGGTAAAGCCCCTATGTTTACTTGTGCCACCCTCAAACCTTAAACCCTAAACAGTTTGTTTGTTCAGGAGAGGTTTTTTGCAGAGATGGAGGCTGCAAACTTGCGCCCCGGCACTGAAAAATAGTTGTTATTGGTTCGGGGTCTGTCTAGCATATACACGTAGGACGTTCAGAGTGATTGCAGTTTCTTTATACGAGTGTCAGGGTGAATAGAATTTCAGTATTTTTGTGCAATGCTTCGTATCAGAGTCCTAGAAAGGGTTTCATGAGGGGCTTTATTGTGAGCCTTTAGTTTCAGGGCCTTGGAGATTTCGTGCCCGGGAGGCTCGGGGGGTGGAATGTTCAGGGGCCCGCGAAGCTGAGACGGTTCGATCCTCCTTTCCAGGGAGCCCATCTCTTGATTTGGAGCCTTGTGGGCCCGTTTACCGAAGTCCAGAATACCTTGGCTCGGTTCCGGTGTCGATACTTCTGCAAGTACCTACGGGTCCAAGCATACCCTACATGAGTACATGGATCCTTAAAGAAGTTTGAAAGCGATCCTGCGTTTGGCACTACGAGTCACGCCACACAAGCGTGCTACCAGCGCAAATTCAGCACATGCCCAGGGCTGGCCGCCACACAAGGAGGGAACTACAACATATATTCCAGCACATAGTATAATGTAAACGAAAATTTTGTATAAGGACATAATGTCATGTAATGCTAGTAATTCGGAAGATTGACTAAACATAATACCGTATCGCGCAAATAATAGAACTCGTAATCCAACATAAAGTAGAATATGAAGCACGTGAGCCTATCTTGGAACCACGCATAAGAGACTCTTATGGGAGGCCTGCTGTGGCTTTACAACGAGGCCAAGGGGCCTTCACTTTCAGCCCCAAAAGGGGGGGCGACTCAAAACGGTACTTCATTAGTAAGTCCAAGAATGAAGATGTTCATGTGGAGTCGGAAGGATTTGTTTGGGTGTAGGGGCTTCGTTTATTCGGCCGTAGTTTTGTGTACAAGGGTACTTAAAGGCCTAAGCCCTAAATGATTCCTCGTTGGAGTTGCTTTGTGTTTTGGATACTTGGAGGTTCATGGGGAGTTATAAGTGGGGTTATAAGTCCCCTAATATGGGTCATAAGTATAGTTACCCTACTTATAACCCCACTTATAGCTAGCCATGAACCTCCAAGTAAGCAAGGTCAGGATGGCGCGTTCAAATCCAGACGGTGGGTTTTATAGTTTATAGCGTTTAGGATGTAGGGCGTAGTTTTGCGTAGTGTTTAGGGTTCAGGGTTTTTACTAGGGTTGAGGGGTCATGGCCATGGATGCTAAATCCTTGCAAACCAGCCTCAGCAAACTAGCGATGACTCTAGTCATCGCACTCTTCGTGTTCTGCCGCACCCCGAAACTGTACTCCAAGCGCTCACCAAACTACAGCAAATATTGAAATCTTTAAACTCGTTTTGACAAGTCATGCCGAGCACAACCCGAGGCGCCCTACGAAGCAGAGTCGCGTCCTTACCGAGCGGTGGCCAGTTCCGGGGTCTTCTCTTCTACAGTCTCCACAGGATTTTTTGTTTTTGTTCATATAAAACCCAAGAGAATATTAAACATATTTTTTTTAATGTGGTTCTACGGGTCTTCTCTTGACAAAGTGATGAGGGATGAGGATTCGCCGAGTCCCTGCGTAGCTAAGTTCAGGTCTAATCCCTCAGCCCTACATGTTAGATCCTAAAGCCCTGAAGCCTGAACAAACCCCTCCTGAGTCCTTGAGCCCTTGATTCTGGGTCTAGAGCCAGAGTTTGGGTGCTTTTGAGATGCTTGGGGTTAGGATTTTTTTAGCGGAAGCAGAGTGGGAGGGGCTAGGGTATCTATGCTAGTGACGTCCACCACCTTTTCTTTTTCTTGAGGGTGCCTTTGGGCCTCTAGACTAGAGTTGCTCGGGTTGTTGCGGTTTAGGGTTTACGGGTTAGAGTTTAGAGTTTAGGGCAAACCCTGATTCCTACATGCATGTGCACAAAAGCCACCGTACTGGTGATTTCCACGTGTCTGGGCATCCAGAGATGCGACCACCGAATCCCGAACCCATACTAGAGGAGCTGGTAGCCACTCCTGGTACTACGACTATCAACATCATGACCATCATCATCATCATCATTATAGTGATCTTCAGGACTATTATTACTTCATTACTTAAGACCTTTTGGCTAACAGTGGTTAGCAGCAGCAAGTACAACTGATCATGGTGATGATGGTGGTGCTCATGGTTATGGTGACGATGACGACGATAGCGACCATGATGATGACGATGACGACGGTGGTGATTATGGTGGTGAGATATGATGTTGATGTTGACGACGATGCTGACGAGGGTGATCATCATGACGATAAACATGATGATAGTGTGATGCTGAAGATTACGGTGATGATGATGAAGACAACATGGTCACGGTGAAGGTGATGACGATGATGATGATGACGATGATGATGATGGTTGTCACGACGGGCATTTTTACCATGATTGTTAGCAATAGTTTATTACTGCTCTTGCTGTCATTTGTACAGGTGTCAAACTCATCACTGTCTCTGCGCCTAGCTCTTTGCCCGCACCATTGCGAACTATCACACATTGGAGGTTTTAGCGCTCTGATCAACGCCTGTGCCAAGAGCGGCGAGACAGAGCGTGCCGCGATGTGGCTTGAGCGCAGCTCGGCTTTCATGGAAAGGATACTACCGGGGCCTTAATAAGTAGAATTGGGGTTTGGGGCCCATTATACTATAAATATTATAAAGAACCCCCACAGGTCTTTAGAGGTTTAGGGTCCATAGGGTCGAGGCTGTAGGGAAGGGTCGAAAAGTTTAGGGTTGATTTTTGGTACCCTTATAGATCTCTCATAAATAGGAACCCTTATCGTACCCTTATAGACTTATGGATCCCTTATAGGAACCCTTTGGTGGCCCCTTTAAAGGAACCCGCAGGCATCTTGGGGGATAGTTGCTTCGGGGCACTGGTATAGGCTTGCACAACTTCAATGCGGCTGCTACGTACATATTTCAGCGTTAGGGTTTAGGGTTTAGGGGTTCAGGGTTTAGGGGTTTAGGGTGTAGAGGTGAGGTTTAGGGGTTTAGGGGTTTTGGGGGTTTAGGGGAAAAAGATGACTGACATGTGTAAAATTCTAACCTTTATAAAGCTGTACAGACGGAACCCACTGTGACAATCCCGAAGGAATATACCCAGCACTGTTTCGAAGTTGACCGCCCCTTGAAAGCCTGGTTTCAGGATTTGTGGGCGTACGGTTTAGGGTAGGTTTGGGACGAATCATAGCCAAGCTGGTATTCGTTTCAGGAAGCCCTGAACAACCCCCCTTAAGATGTTCGTGGTAAGCCCTAGGTACTAGGTTCTGAATCCTAAACCCCAAACCCATAAATCCGAAAAGTTGTAGCTCTAGACTCTTAAAGATCCCCGTAAAGGAGCCCCTGAAAAGAACCCTTGGATGATCCTTGTTAACGCCCATGGAGCTGTGAACCAGGCTTCCACGAACGAGGCTTTAGCCCGAACGTGGTGAGTCCCTTCTCTGCACCGCAAGGCAAGGCTTGCATTCGGGATCGTAGGGTTTTGGGTCTGGGGTATATTCCAGGGGTTTTATGGGATTCTTCAGGGGGTGGCTAAAAGGCTGCTGCGAGGGTTCTGTGTAAGGTTAATGAAATAGGTTTCTAAAGCAGTAACTATATTATATCGTTCAAGCTGGCTTTCCCAAAGTTGGGTGCGTATGTTAGGGTGCTTGTTGAGTGTAGTCTGGTGCACCTTAGAGAGACAGGTAAATACATCTGTATATAGATTTATTCATTTCTCATAATATAGGTGGGGAGCCTTGCGCATAATTGTTTGATTGGTGAAAGTATGGGGTTTAGGGATTACCCTTATATTATCGATCCCTGAGGTGAGCTCCAAAATGACATAACTTACCATAACCATAGAACCTAATCTCCTTGCCATCTCTCATTGATGCCCATAGGTATCTAAACTCCAAAACCTTAAACCCCAACGCTGAATCCTAAACCCTGAACCCTAAACCCTGAACCCTAAGCCCTGAATCCTAAACCCTGAATCCTAAACTGTAAACTAAAGCCTAGACCTTAAACCCTAGCTGAGGTTACACTGCCCTCATCGATGCCTATGCGCGCCAGGGCAATGCCCTGCGCTGCGAACAGGCAAGACACGCGAGAGTTTTGTGCTGCTGCTTGGAGGTTCATGGGTAGTTATAAGTGGAGTGGGGTTATTTGTCCCCTAATATGGGTTATCGGTATAGTTACCCTACTTTATAACCCTACTTATAACTATCCCTCAACCCTAAACCCTGTAGATCCCCGAAAAAGGAGCCCTACAAATAACTAACTAGCCATGAGCCTCCAAGTAGGGACACTGATTTCGCGCTTCGGGCTTACAGGGCTTGGGGTTTGGGGAAGTTCTATACAACTAGTAAACTGATTTTAAGGGTTTAAAAAACCCAGAGTCCTTTTTGTTTGGGGTCTCTACTGTACGCCAATCCCTAGACTCTAACTACTGGTGGTTTTGTTGTTGCGTGCTGTATTGCCCTGTGTACTTGCATTTTACGTGCCCTCATGTGTGTCAGTCGTTGTGTAGTCGATGTTCACAGCTTCGAGCTTCTTCAACCCCTCAGCTGCAACTGTGCCTCACACTGGTTCGGCAATGTTCGGCACACATCTTGCAGGTCCTTCGTGCGATGATCGAGAAGAAGGTGGCACCGAATGAGCGAAGTTGCCTGTCTTTCTGGTGGTTGAATTTCTTGTCGACTTAGACGCCTTGGTACTTGAACCGCGAAACATGTTTATGGCTCAATCCCAAAGCAATAAACCGTCAGACTGCAAGCCCATGAGGGTGACACCAAGAAGGGCTATCAGTCGAAATGGTCGGAAAGTAGGATCACTAAACGGCTGAGTGACTTACGTAACCCTCATCCCTAGACGAGCTGAAGCCATAAAATCCATGGTTTAGGCCCGGTGACAAGAACCGATGCAGGCGTAAAACTTGTGTATACTTTAAAGTACATATTTGGGGACTTACTTTAAGGCAATTTGGCACATGAACCCTTACAGAAGCTTTTTAGAATTGAAACGCTCAGGATCTAATGAGGCGGTCAACCCCTCCCCACACCCTACTCTAAGTTCCACCACCCTCAGCCTTCAAGCGTATATCGACCTACTCTCCGTTGACCGTTGAGGGGTTTGGAGTCTTGGAATGTAGAAGTGAGAGTGTGGGTTGGGTTGCAGGGCCGTGAACCCTTCTCCCTCTGGCTTACAAGCGGAAGCTTTGCCATCTGCAGGTTACAGTTGCATCATCAATGCATATGCCGACGCAGGCAATGAAGAGGAGTGCCAGAGATATTTGTGGCTTGTCCGACAAAACGCGAACCTAAACCCCAACCCGCCTAAACATCGCAAGTATGGTGTTATATGCAAACCCAGACGAGAATGCTGCGGAAGCAATGGTTGAGGGATGCGTTTCTCGTCTGGTTAGGTGAAGACTTGAGGGTTTTAGATGGTTGTGTTATCGGAGCCCGAAGACTTGCCAATATTGTTCTTGGGGCTCTTAACTACATGATATGTGTATGTATGTAGACATAGCTGTTTATTTAATATATATATATATATATATAAACAAATGTATATATATATATGTATACATATATATATATATGCATATGTATATATACATAGTTACAGCATACATATCATGTGTATATCTTACATATGTATATGTGTAAGTTCATGTGTTTATGTAATCATCTTCACACTTTTGCACATGCGAAGTCTCCAAAACCTCCGACCTTTGCTTGTTTTCTGTCATAGACACATGTTTCCGACGGAATTTGCTTGTGTTCTGTCCTAAACACATCTTCTGACGGAATTTGCTTGTTTTCTGTCATCGACGCATCTTTCCGAAGCAAAATGCTTGTATTCGGTCACATTGGCCTCAAGGCTTCGGGTACCACTACTATTGCTGCTGCTGCGTGCTGTTACATACTCCTAAACTCCAAAACCCTACACCCTGAACTGCGACAACGACTACCGCGACGCCTTATTTTCGTCTCGATGCCCTGTGCTCTATCATGGGTTGCTGCACAAGTCTCACCGTGGTTATGGGGTTCCTTGCTGCGGTTAAGAAAACCAGGGCCTGGTCGTGGTTACAGCACCGCCTCTGATACTTAAAGGGAACTCCAGAAAGTTGGAATATGGTTTCAGGGTAGGATACCCTATAATTTACCATAACGGGTTTAGGATAATCATATTCCAACTTTCGGGCTTTTACCTTATCAATGTCATATAATGTCATCCTCTACATCCCTTTGCTTTTCTGTTGGGGCCATCTCAGGCATGAAATGCAGCAGCGGGGGGTAACGCCCACGACAGCGACACTTGCGAAGCAAGTGAGCTTAGGGAGACGTCGGGCTCTGGCACTGATCACTGATCGGTTTAGCCTATGTACAAGGCGTCACAATAAGAAGCCCTACCCTAAATCCTAAATCCTTAAGCCCAACACCCTAATCCCCTAAACCCTAAACTACCCTGAATCGTAAACTATCCCAAATCGTAAACTATCCCAAATCCTAAATCCTTAAAGCTAGCACCCCTTTTCGCCCCTATGGAGCCCAAGCACCGAGAAGCTTCGGGGGGTTAAGGCGAGGTTCAGGGCGTGCTTCTGGAAATTTGAGGTTTAGGGTTTAGGGGTTTTAGGGTTTAGGGGTTTAGAGTTTAGGGTTTAGGGGTTTAGGGTTTAGGGTTTAGGGGTTTAGGGTTTAGGGTTTAGGGGCTGTCTACAGCCGGATGGTGTTGCCGAGTTGCAGAGTCGCCTGCTTCTGTGTCCGGAAGGGTCCAATCTTATAGTATATCCTTTGAAGGTCCGAGTATCTACTAGGAACCTACTACATTGGTACTGGGACCTTTTGGGTGTGGCCGTAGTCGGAGACTGGTCTCTGCCCATGAAATGTGCAGGGTTGGAATGTGTGAGCTACTTGGAGGTTCATGGGAAGTTATAAGTGGGGCTGTAAGTCCCCTAATATGGGTCATAAGTATAGTTACCCTACTTAAAACCCTACTTATAACTACCCATGAACCTCCAAGAAGGTGTGAGCTCGTCGTGCCTACTTGACGGCCCCCTCCAGATTCAATCACTACCGACCTGATGAGGCGTTACTTGGAGACTCATGGGACTTCGTAAGTACAGTTATAAGTGCCCTAACTGTGATTCTAAGTACATATAAGTGTAGTTACCTTAATGATAACCCTACTGATGACTACCCATGAACCTCCAAGTAAGCTGCCTGAGGAAAGCGCTCATTCAGAATCATCGTAAGGCGTTAGAAGCTCAATGACTCCGTAAGTCCAGCGTTTTCGGTTCGGATGAGTTCGTTCTCCTTGAATCTCCTTGAAACCCTGCATCGCATGATACAAGCCTGTGCCCTAAACCTTTAGGTTTAAGCCGCAAAGCCATTACCGCTCTGCGTTTGAAGCCGAGGACATATTCCACGCTCATCAAGTGCTGTGCAACGACAGGCGATGTCAAGTCTGCAACTCGACGACGTGATATCTGTTGGTGCTGTATGCCCACTCAAAGCCTAAACCCCTTAAACTTGAGGTAAGTCGTGGGTCCACATATGAGTTGGGTGTCTGATGATACGGTGGTATACTCATATTTGTAGTGCATTGTCTCAGGATTATTGTTGGCGTTTTGGTCTCACCGATTTTGTATCGAGACCTTGAGCATGCAGCGCAACTCGCTGCTGAGAGAATCGAGTCTTCTACTTACCTTTGGTTAGTAAGGAATGGAGGAATGGCGTACAACTATAGCTACTATTACTACCATTCTTCCATTCCCTAATATCCAAAGGTAAGTCTATGCATCACAAGCAACCTTAAGATTTCGATCCGCGAAACCCCAAATCCCACATCTTGCGCCTCCAGCGCTGTAAGAGTCCATGAATAACTTAGACGTGAGTGAAGCAGGCTTAGTTTGGGATGGCCATATGGGTTTAGCCAAGAGTTTCGTTGCGGCGGGGTGTTGGGTAGAGTCGTTCAATTCGGCCGAAGATGTTTGCATTCAGGGTCGAAAGTTCGCCTGAGTGTTTTTTTGGGACCGTTTGGGGACTTGTTTGGGTTTTGTGAGTCGCCCGCATAGTAGCCCCTGCCTTAACCCTCGTAGGACCCCTAAACCCCTACAGTATGCAGACACACACACACACAGGACACGGAGTCACACAGACGGACAGACAGGCAGGCAGACGGGCAGGGAGGCAGGCAGGCAGGAGGGCAGGCAGGCAGGCAGGCAGGCAGCGGCAGGCAGACAGGCAGACAGACAGACAGACACGCAGAGCAGCGGAGGCGAAAGTGATAAGACGCTACAGGTACCTCCAGCACTCAGCGGCTAGAAGCATCACAAGAATTTCCCGCTCGGCCTGACACGAGGTTGAACGCCGTGCCGAGGCGGAGGGGGAACGCCTGGAAGAAGCGCGTCGAGCTAGAGCAGGCGACCAACGCCTGCGGTGTGATGAGACAGCTCCTTTAGTTTGGAAGTGCTTCCAAGCTCGATCTGCTATGTGGAAGGCAAAAAAACAAGCCATGGCAGAGGAGCTTGCCCGCCTACGCGGCGAACCTGTTCCAGAGGCCCTTCAACCTCGAACAGGCAAAGCGCGACTCCAGTACTTTGTGCATGCAGGTCGCCCGGGATGCCCTGTTTGTGCGGCCTGCGTGAGGTTGTAGAAAGACCGTCTCGTTTGCAGGCAACACCGCCAGAGGCTGCTGCAAAGAAGGACCAAGCCAATGCGAAGGTCAGCGAGGAGCCAGGGTGTGGAGACTGCCCGCCATTGGCGTGCCGGGCACTGCCCGGAAAAGCAAAGCAGATGGCCGACCCTAAGCTACACCTTAAACCCTAAACAAGAAAGGCTAAACCCCTAAACCACAAAGCCCCCGAACCCTCAACCCCTTGAAAGATCCCCGATAGCCTTCTAAAGAACTCCTATAGGAAACCCAGGAAACCCATAATACCCGTTTATTGAAGGAGCGCCCCCCCCCCCCCCCACCCCACACCTCTCAAAGCCCCGAAACCCCCAAAGCCTTTAAACCCCTAAGCTTCATAGAACCCTTAAAGATCCCTGTGCAGTAGAAGCCAGAAAGTTGGAATATGATTATCCTGAACCCTTATGGTATCTTACAAGGTATCCTACCCTGAAACCATATTCCAACTTTCTGGAGTTGCCTTTAAGCGGGCCCTCCCTAAACCCTAAACCCGAAACCCTTAATGGAACCCTTATAGAGCCCTCGAAGGAATCCTCTAAACCCTAAACCCTAAACCCCTAAACCCCTAAAAATTCTCGAAGCCAAGCGAGGCGGAAGTCTGGTTCCGACGAATCGGCGACTCGGGGTTGGTGCCAGACAACCAAAGCCCCAGAGCGGCAGATGGGGGGTACCGGTTAGGGTTTAGGATTTAGGGTTTAGGGTTTAGGGTTCTTCGGTGGGGTTATATATATCTCTATGTTTATATACATATTTACCGGGATTAGGGTTTAAGGTTTTCGTTTTAGGTTATTACGACCTTTTTGGGGGTTTGGGTTTTCTGAGTGTGGGATTTTGTGGAAGTTGAGGGTTTCATGTAGATTTTGCAACGGCTGTCCCAGGGTTTCGGTGCTATCTCATGCGTTCAGAGGTGTCGATCAAGGTGTTCTGGAGTCCTTACTTAGAGGTTGGGGTTCAGGGTTTAGCGATTATTAGTATCTATCTTCTGCACAGCCTTTTGAATGGGACTACTTGTAGGAGAATTGAGTGGGTCTACAGGGAATGTCGGGTTTTGGTTTGTACGTGGTGTAGTGGTTTAATACCTGAAGCTTCAAGCATCGCTGTCTACACTGCCAAGAAAAATCCTCGCACCGCAAACCCCCTAAACCCCAAAGGCCCTAAATCCTAAACCCCTAAATCCCTAAAGGCCCCAAACCCAAAGCCCTTCCACACTAAACCACGGCCTGAGCCGACACCCCCAAAACAAGGCTACAACAACGTCCTGGCTGCACGCGCTGATGTGCCAAGCTCAGGGTGCTCAGGAACCCTCAGGCTCCGCAAATAGGAGCCCTCAGCCCCTGCAAACAGGAACCCTAAGACTCCCGTAAACCGCCGTAAACCCTTAAACCTATGGGTCCTTGCCCAAGCTATTGTTGGTCACTCTGCCCGAAATCCGAAGGTAAAGATGGTAGAGATGCCTCAGCCCAAGGGGGGAGAGTAAACCGAGCATGTATACCCTGCAGGTACATGGACACTGAGGGTATAGGTCCGGACCGTGCGCGATAAAGAACTTCGGGAGGGAGGAAGAGAGGGGAGGACAGACTCAGAAGAATCAGAGGCGAAGCAGGGCGGAGAAAGGAACAGGGAGGACGGCGGGGAGGAGCGAGGACTACGGAGGAAGGGAAAGAAGGAGCAGGGAGGAGGCCAGGAGGAGAAGGAGGAGCAGATGAGAAGGGAGGAAGATGAATGAACACTCTTAGCATCACAAACTACAAATCACCAGGCGAAGTACATACTACTGGGCAACAAATGCGCAAGAATGAGTACACGAGCAAACAATGCTCAATGAGTTGCTCGTTTTTCGGGCACAGCTACAGATGATGATCAGTATTGTGCATTGCTTGCTCGTGCACGAGCAAGCAATGCACAATAAGTTGTCCAGTTCTCGAGTGCTACCTAACATCGAACGGATAAAGGCCCTAGACTCTGCAGATTGTGAGGTCGAGAACGAACCACGGATCACTCTGACGGAAAGCACCATAAGTTGCACAACCTTCAAGCACAAACCACAAATCATATACAGACGTTTCAACAAGCAGAGTTTTAGCCGGAGCCACCGGGCTAATCTTAACAGTTAGATGGGGTTTGGGGTATATGATAATACAGTAGTTTATTATGAGGAGCCCGGAAGCATAATATTGGCAAGTTCTTGAGGCCCCTAGATCAGCGCTTTTTGCTTCAAGAGTTTCATCGCACTCTTACACAGGTGCACCTTAGTTTGAACTTGACAAGCTGCAGTGGGTGACCTGACCTACGTCATTTCGGGGGAAGTATGACCGGTGGGTGGGGGTGCCCGAGATGGACTTTGCGGAAGACCGCTCGGTTTCTGGGAGCCGCCAGACGACTAGGACCAGGATCTCTGGTGGCACCTGAAGCCCTACAGCGCATGAAGCCCTAACCCTAAACCCCAAATCCGAAAACACTGCCGAGTCTGAACCCCCCACGACCTGATGTCGGATGCCTGGAAACTGTTGAATCCGAAAGCCTTGCGACCCCTGAACCCAAAATCGCAGGGCCCACGGATGCTTGAAACTTGCTCGAGCCTTGTTTGGTCCCAAGAGCCCCTATACCCCAATCGTCTAACATAAGTAAATCGTAAGATGGGACTCTAAAAATGTCGGTTGCTGAGAGTGCAGGGACAGCCTAAACCGCCAATCCTAAACCCTAAAACCTAGACTCCGGTCCTTTCTCTGCCTTGCCGTCTGAGGCACGGTGTGCTGAGACCATGGACCTTGCGGAGGTCTGCCGGGTTCGTTGTCGGCTTTAGTTCGGGTTTAGGGTGTAGGGTTTGGGGTGTAGAGCTTACACTTCGATATTCTGTTTAGAGGTCAGGGGTTTCCTTAGATCGTGTGTAATTGTCTGCACTGTTGGAAGTATAGGCTCTGGGAAAAGATTTATGTAGATATGCAGTTGTGTGTGTATATATATATATAGGATACATATCCACACACACATGGACCTATAGATGGACGGATCTTTGCACACACATTTCAGGCGCGAATTGGGAAGCTTGTGCCTGTGGGTCAAAAAATGTAGGGGTGCGGACGTCTGGAGGTTGAAGGTCTGTCTTTAGCAGCACCACCACCACCAGCATCACCAGCAAGACGACGACTACTACGATTACTACGACAACAACAACAACAACAACAACAACTACTACTACCACTACTACCACTACCACTACTACTACTACTACTACTACTACTACTACTACTACTACTACTACTACTACTACTACTACTACTACTACTGCTACCACTATTACCACCGCCACCACCACCACCACCACCACCACCACCACCACCACCACCACCACCACCACCACCACACCACCACCACCACCACCACCACCACCACCACCACCACCACCACCACCACCACCACCACCACCACCACCACCACCACCACCACCACCACCACCACGACATCGACACAAATCCTGGTCGTCGTCGCTGTCGTCTCAGTCATATCGTCATGGAAATATTTCCTGGCCGTCGTCATCATCGCAGTCCTCGCAGTGATGACTAACAATCATTGTTCTTGCTTTTACTAGTATCACGGGATCCATGCTTCTACCTGCTGACAGCAAGTTTGCTAGAGTTGTTTTGATTTGTTCTGTATCGTGCTACTCATTGTCATTGCACTTTTGATCCTCGGTCCTCTAAACCCCGTACAGTGCGCCCCAGTCCCTGACCCGACAACCTGAACCCAGAGATTGAAAAGATGTGCTCAAAATTGACACGGCTGGTCCGCAAACCTTCAACCCTGGATCAGGCCTGGTACCAGACAATGTTGGACCACGGTGTCCACCCTGACAAAGTGACACGAAACACGCCGCTGCCTCGGGCTTAGGGAAGCGGGTTGGGCGGTTGAGGGTTGAGGTTTAGGGTTTAGGGTTGAGGGTTAGGGTTTCGCGGGATTAGAGGGTTGAGAGTGGAGGTCTTTCGTAAATTTATTGATCGAGGGTTTCGGGGGTAACATCGGGCCAGGGTTCCCCTTTCTCCGTTCCTCACGGTTCTTCTTCATCATTTCCACAGAATGCAGCCCACACCCGATATTCTACAGGGAACTCCAGAAAGTTGGAATATGGTTTCAGGAAAGGATACCTTATAATTTACCATAGAAGGGTTAGGATAATCATATTCCAACTTTCTGGCGTTTACTTTAGTGTTTAAGGCCCCCTAAACCCTAAACCCTAAACTCTAGTACTCTAGTCGAGTCACATGGCCTGTAAAACTCTTAAAAGCTCAGGGTTTGGGGTTTAAAGGGGTTGAGGGCTTTCGGGGTTTAGGGCTCCTTTAAAGGATACTATAAGGGTTCCTTTACGGGATCTATAGGGTTTAGGTTTAGGGTTTAATGTAGGAATCTGATTAAGAAACCCTGGGGCCCATAACCCCGCCACAAATACTAGGATTCATATCAGGGACCCGAATAAAGTCCCAGGTTTCTTCATCAGGTCGCTACATTAGGGCTTCGCATTTCGCTGTAGGTTGCCTTAAACTATCCCAAGCCTCGAACCCCAAACCTTAAACAGCCCAAGTCCTAGACCCTCAAGCATATCCCAAGGCTGGGGACGAAAATTTGAGGCTGTTGCCTTTCGGCGACTATAGTTCAGCTTCGTGGAACTTTTTTGCTAGCTTCTGACCTTGTCTTGATATTCATAGAGACGAAGCCGGGGTTCGACGAGTCGTAGTTTGTGGGGTCTAAGGTTTTACGGCACTGTTCGGGTTGTTGGGTTTATGTTTGTGGTTTTGGGGTCTGGGCTGTGCTTGGAGGTTCATGGGTAGTTTTAAGTGGAGTTCTGAGTCCCCCAAAATGGGTGATAAGTATAGTTACCCTACATATAACCCTACTTATTAAAACTGCCCATGAACCTCCAAGTAGTCTATGTAGTGAAAAGGACCCAATGCTTGTTTCGCATCTCCTCATTGACCTTGCAGCGGTAGCAGGCCGCATACCCGTGTGCGCCCGACCATGCCTCGCAGAACTTACACCCCACATGGCTACGGCAAGCTTTCTACTCTGGCATGTTAAGGTTGCCTTAGCTCCGGAAACCGATGATATCGAAGCACTTGTTCATCGAAGTTCTACTCCAAGACTCGGGTGCTGGACGGGTGTAGCACTTCCCCGAAGGGTCCAGGTATCTAGGAATCATACACTCTTCACGAATCTCACCCACATGATTACCCTAAGCCCTAAACCCTACTTACTATCCTAGAGCCAGGTGCCTCGTTGGTGTGTCCTTGGGACCGATCCGGCAAGGGCTTGGGCAACTAAACCCTCGACCCAAAACCTTCAACCCTAAACTGGTCAACCCAAGACGTTAAATCCTACAACCCTAGAAACTAAACCATAAACCCCTAAGTCCTAAACCCTCAACTCTAAACCCCTAAATCCTAAACCCCTAAGTCCTAAACCCTAAACCCTAAACTCTAAACCCCTACGGCGTTTCATCCTTAAGCTCCAGCTTCTCACGTGCCCACGTGCCCTCGAAAGGCTTATCTACGGTATCTCGGCTGCGATTGGCTTCGAAGTTGTTCCCATTGAGCCCGACGCCATGGAAATCCAGGACATGGGCACTTCAGCGGGTGAGTAATCTAGGGGCCTTGATAGTTTCAATCGGCTGTTGGGGTATAGTCTGCTGTCATAAGCAAGGAGTCCCAGAAGAGGAGTAGTAGTAGTAGCAGTAGTAGTAGCAGTAGTAGTAGTAGTAGTAGTAGTAGTGGTAGTGGTAGTGGTAGTGGTAGTGGTAGTGGTGGTGGTGGTGGTGGTGGTGGTAGTGGTAGTGGTAGTAGTGGTAGTAGTGGTAGTGGTAGTGGTAGTAGTGGTAGTAGTGGTAGTCGTAGTAGTGGTGGAAATAGTAGTAGTAATTATGTAGGCCCCTGTGATACTCTGGCTGTTGCCTCTTGCAGTGCTCTGTACCAGAAGCCAGAATTTGGAACATCAATATCCTCATGCCCTTAATGTAGAGTAAAAGGAATCCGGCACAAATCATCCTTAACATATGTTCCAACTGTATGGCTCCGCGTCTCGCTAATTCGTGTCGAGCCCAAGCACGTTTAGGGTTTCGGATGGTCGGTGTGGGTAGGATAATGTAGGAATTTGCTTAAGAAACTCTGAGCCTTTAACCCCAAACTAGCAGGATTCACGTCAGGAACCCTAATAAAAGGCCCAAGGTGTCTTATTCAGGTTCCTACACTACCGGGCTGTGGGCTGAACTCGAAGGGTTGGATGTGGTACCCAAGTCCCACCTAGAACACCTACCTTCCAAGGGCGGACGCCCTTTTGTACAGGTGAAACCTACCTGCTTTGGGTTATGTAAGTCCTTCAAAAAGGAAGGTTACTTGGGGTTATAGATCTTAAACCCTAAGCAAAACCCGATACATCCCAAGCCCAGGTATGATGAAAGAAACCCTTAAAGGGCCTTCAGAGGAACCAGATCTAGAAACCTAGGGTAATCCCCCAACAGGGTCTTATGAATCCTTATCGCTCTAAACCCTAAACCCTTATAGTACCCCCAGAGGAACTCTTAAAGGCCTGAAAGCTTAGCTTACAATCTCCCAAAACCCTAAAACTTGTAGCACCGCTGCAGGAGGCAATCAAGGAACCCTCTAAAGGCCTCAACGGGACCTTGAAAGGAGCTTTTCAAATACACCTTAAACTTGCTCAAGATCCTGAATTTTGCATTCATAATGAAGTTCTCAGAACACATGATAGATAAGAACCCTGTGTACATCCATGAGAAGAGACAGACTCAAAGGAGCCCTCGAGCCGAAATCCTCAAGACCTCAAGCATACTTAGCGGAACCCTTAACCCTAAAAGGCCTCAGAACCGGGCCCCTTAAAGGAGCCCGTCCAAGGAACCCTTCAAGGAATCCCTGAAAAAGGAGGCCCCATGTTGGAAGGTTTTAAGAGCCGAGGTTATGCTCGCAGAGCCATGCCTGAGGAGGCGAAGGCTCGGTTTTATCGTTTTGCATTTTTTTAAATTTTGTTTTTAGGGTTTCCGTTGTCTTGAGCTCAGGGTTCAGGTTTAGGCTTTAGGGGTTAGGGTTGAGGTTAGGGGTACTTTGAGGCCTCAGGGTATTTTAAGGGTTGTCCCATGCCTGCGCCTGGCCAAGCCGCAATGTCGGGGGCGGGCCAGGATCATAGGGATCCTTAGGGGTGTAGGGGGGAGGGGTGTAGGGGACTATATTTCCTTAAATAGGCCTTATGAGTCCTTATTATGGGCCTTAAGGCCCCCTACCCCCCCTCCCCCTACACCCCTAAGGATCCCTATGACAGGACTCAGAGATCCCATTTTCCCTTACACCCTCGTCCGAGGCAGGTGTCGGTCACAGCTTTGGCTTAGAAGCTGCCCCCACCCTGTAATAGTGGTATAATAGGAATATAACAGGAATATAATAGGGCCCTAATATAATCCTTATAGTCACTATTACAGGGTGGGGGCAGCTTCTAAGCTTTGGCCTTCACCTGTTCAGTCCGGTGGGTTTTGGGGGTTGTTGAGCGAAGTTTGAAAGATGGAGAGGAGGAAGGTGGGTTGAGAGGGAAATTGAGAGGGGAGTTTTGAGAGGAGCAGCGTTTCAGAGAGAATTGTGAGGGGCACGCAAAGCCGGAGCATAGACTGAAGCTTTGAACCCCCAGCAATGAGCCCTAAAGCCCCCGTAAGGAATGGGGGAATGGATCCGTACAGTAGCCCCGGAAGAATCCCCAACAATAGTCCCCATAATCCATTCCCCCCTTCCCTACTAAGAACGAGACAGAAGACTTGGAAACCGGGGAGCATACACACATCTCTTCCGGCTTGTCCCTCGAAGTCCTACGTTCAAAACCCTACGCCCTAAACCTTGAACCCTAAGCCCTTAACCCTTAACCCCAAACCTTGCATCCTAAATCTTAATACGATAAACCAGATAAACCATCTCAATATTCTGTATTATCAAAGAATCAACTACTAATGAACTATTGGAATGAAAAATAATATATTATCAAAGAATCAAATACTAATGAACTATTAGAATGAAAAATAACATATTATCAAAGAATCAAATAACAATTAGCTATTTTTTCTGAAAAAGAATTTGAAACCTGAACCTTAAACTCTCAAACAATCAGGCTCGTCTCTATGAGTTACAGGATCGCGTCCCAGTCGATGAAGAGAGCTCTCCAGCAGCACGGAGCATGTCAAGCGTCGGGGGTTTAGGGGTTTAGGGTTGAAGGGGCTTAGGGTTTTTTAGGGGTTTAGGGTTTAAGGTTTTAGGGCTTTAGGGTTTTGGGGTTTAGGGGTGGTTTTAGGGGCTAGGGTTTAGGGGTTTAGGGGTTTAGGGGTTGAGGTTTAGGTTTGGGGTTTAGGGGTTGTGAACTATTCAGGGTTTCGGTTTCGGGTTTTAGGGTTCGGTTTAGGGTTGCATTCTTACCTGGGCCTTCAGATGCAACTTGTTTGGTTGCCTTCTTTCGTTTTAGATACGAGGCCCTGTTTACAGATATCAGGACTATGCCTTCGGTTTTGGATTCCAATCATATTATGACGAGACTGTTCGACATTTTTGAGGCCGGTTTTAAGCCTTGTAAAGCCATACAAAGCCATATTCTAAAGCAAAGGACCCCTGCAATGGGTTTTCGGTTTTGTTGGGATTTGAGTGAGTCCCCGCGGGTGGGACTGCTTCATAAGCAGATGGTCAGAATCTGACATCGTGGAGCTACTGTGGCATGATATTAAGGGAGTCGCAGACAATCAAGGACACCAGTATAGAGCCCAAACTTTGTCTGATATTCCAATACTGAACGTTTCTACCCAGGGTACGGGGCTTTCGCGAAGCTCCCATAACTTGCGCTGCTGATGCCGTGTTTCTGTGCCTACGGATTGCTTACAGCACGGCAGGTTAAGGTGATTCCTCCTGCTCCATGTAGACAGGCGGACTGGTGGGCGAGGTAGATGATCAGACAGCCAGAAGACAAATTTCAGTGTTGTTGAATGCCTCAGCTGCGACACGGAGGCCGGCAACAAACCCGTGGCCAGTAAAGCAGACCCCAATTTAAACTCTGAGTCCCATTTAGGGTGTAGGCTTTAGGCAGGGTTTGGGCTTCAGGCTCAGGGTGTGAAGGGAAAGTTTAGGCTTTAGGCTTGGGGTTTCTGGGTGTTGGGGTTTAGGGTTTACTTTAACCCCAACAACCTACTTTTTGAGGGGACACATAAACGAAAATCATGGTAAGCCCGAAAGAGAAAGGTTTTATAGGGTCCTGGTAGGGTTCCTAAACCCTAAACCCTAAACCCTAAACCGGTTCCTAAACCCTAAACCCTTTAGAGTCACCGGGCTCCACTTCGAGACTCCGTGGTTTAGGGTTCAGGGGCTGAGTAGGGATTTTTCAGCCTAGAGTTCGGGTTTCCTTGTATGGGAGTTTCCGAAAATTCCTTGTGGTTCCTTTAAAGGGTTACTATAAGGATGCTATAAGGGTTCCTTTAAAGGGTTCTATTAGGGTTTAGAGTTTCCGAAAATTGGGGGTACCTTGTTTTGGGGTCCTTGTAAAGAGGATCCTACTATATATACGTCGGGTGCAATACTGGGGTTCCCTGTTTTCGGAAACCCTCATAGAAGAGTCGCCCTAAAAGGTGGGCTAGGCTGGTGTTAAGGGAGCTGTTCAGGGTTCCTTACTTGCAGCTCTTAAAGCACGAGAGTCCTTTTAAACAAGGTATATAGGTGTTTGAGGGCTTAAGAGAGCTCCCCAAACCCTAAACCCGAAGCCCTAAAGTCTACCCGGACCCTAAGGAACCTGCCTTTTTAGGCTTCCCGAATATGATTTCTTTATATAAGTCCTTAAAAAAGGTAGGTTACTTGGGGTTAAGGTAAACCCTAAAGTCCAAAGCCTGAAGCTCCGCGCCCCGAAGCCGGCTTTTTTATTCCAGATCGAAGCCAAAAAGAAGGAAAGGAGGCCCATTAAGTCTTTATTATGGGTATTGAGGCCCCCTACCCCCCTAAAGGTCCCTATGAATAACCAGAATAGTTAGTAGGGCCGTTTAGGAGTTGGAGTTTAGGGGTTTCAGGTCGAGTATTTAGGGGGTGTCCGGGTTTAGGGCTCAGGGGGTCTAGGGTTTGGGCTTTAGAGTTCAGGGGTTTAGGGGTTCAATATAAAAGGTTTAGGGTTTAGGGGTTCAGGGCTTTAGGGTTTTGGGTTGTGAGGGAGACCGGGCTAAGGGCTTCAAGTTGTGAGCAAATGTTCAGGCCTTGACATTGTGAGGAAATGCCGGACGGCATGGCAGCGGTCAGCAATGCTTTTGCGTTTCGGTTTCCGTGGAATGAGCTGGGTTTGGTTTTAACGTTCAGGGTCCACATGCTCGTCATATGCGAGATATCTATCTCTTCCTCCAGTTGCTTTAGCAGTACCCTTGGCGGCTAAAGTAGTACTGGAGTTTTCATACTTACAGTAGAGATTTGAAAGGATAATGGTACCAATCTACTGGGACTAAGAGTTGGTACCGCTGTCTCAGTATAAGAACCGATACACTATATAGTATAAGCTTCGGAAAAAGACGTCAAACCCTTTCAAACCCTCCAAGGCGACAAGGCTCTGTGGCTTCAGGTTACAAGAAACATGTCAACC